CTCCAACTCAAGGACACTCGTTAGAAGAAATGCTTTAAAACTCATCTCAGGCTGGGGATTTGGCTCGGTGGTTCTACTGCCTGCCTCGCAAGGGCCCAAGTTCAATCCCTGGTACCAAAAAAAAAACTTTCTTAAATTGACTTTTCTTAGAACATGTTTGCAGTGTATCATGGTTGCATTCATTTTACTTTACAGGTTGCTATGCTTATATCACACATGGCCATTCCCTTCTTTCCCCCCTAAAATTTACATCTCTTCAGGGAACAGGAAGCTGTTACGACAGTTGAAATTTTGAAAACTGATAGGTTTAGGTAGAAATAAAGTATTTACATACAGGGTATCCACTGCATGTGAGACTGAAGATACAGCTGCTCTTGGCAACCTTCCCCCTCACTGTCTTTCCGGGATTGAGGATTGAATCCAGGACTTTGCACTTGCCCGGCAGGCACAGCGCCACTGAGCTACATCCCCAGCCCAGTAACCTTCCTCTGGACTGTGCCATACAGCTGGACGTGGAGCCTTTCATGATGACCACAGCTATGGAGGACTTCCTGCAGCAATGGAAAATGCCACTGGGCAGCGGCCACCAGTCTCGTGACTAATGAGCACGGGAGGTGTAATTAATGTGACTGCATTTTAATAGTATTTAATTTTAAATCATCAAAAGGGCTGGGCATGGTGGCACATGCCTGTAGTTCCAGCACTCAGAAGGCTGAGTGAGGCAGGAGGATTGCCATGAGTTCGAGGCCAGCCTCGGCTATAATAGCAAGACACTGTCTCCAAAAAAAAGTCTGGCTACTGTATTGAACAGCAACTCTTAGATAAACTACATAATGGTGCTACTAAAAATCCCAATTAAATAATTGAAACCTAATTGAAACTTTAAAAAAAACAGTAAACCACTGAGAGACTCAGACCCCAGAACAGGAATGCATTAGACTCCCGTGTCTTCAAGTATGTGTTGCTGCTTTATTTCCTTTGCATAGATCAGAGGTGGGGAGCCTATGGCCGGCTATTTATCATCATTGAAATCTCTAAAAGGTTCGCCATCACTGGCATAGACCTTCTGTTCCCCAGCCCACATTGTAAAAAGAAAGCCACAGCAAATACTGTAGCTCCTAGATTTGCATCTCGAGACAGGGCCTGGATGGACCCAGAGTTAGAGTTCTGATTCCTGCAGGTGTGGTGGGGCAAATCCCATATTTAGAAGGCCAAGGAAGGAGAATCAGCATGAACCTCACAGACCCTGTCTCAAAAAAAAAAATTCCGATTATAGATTCCCGAAAGGAACTTTTTTTTTTTTTTTTGGTCTTTTGTTTTTTGTTTGTTTGTTTGTTTGGTTTTTTGAGACAGGGTCTCACTATGTAATTGAGACTGCCCTGGAACTCACTATGTAGCCCAGGCTGGTCTCGAACTCAACAGTGATCCTCCTGCCTCAGCCTCCCAGAGTGCTGGGATCACAGGCGTGCGCCACCACACCTAGCTCCAAAAGGAATTTAGACTTACTTAGTGAATGGTTGATTCTTTTAGTAAGAATATAAAAGGTGAATGTCCACATATTAAAGAAATACGTACAGACAAAATCATATCAAGTACAATCAAGTTGTTTTGTTTTTTGGTTATTTCCTGTACTGGAGAAAGAAGCCAGGACCTTTGAACTGAACCTAGCCCTTCCTTCTTTTTTATTTTAAGACAAGGTCTCACTTAGTTGCCCAAGCTGATCCTCCTGTCTCAGCTTTGTAGAGTGCTGAGATTGTACGCCATCATGCCCAGCTTGGATTTTGAGCTGATAAAAATTTGTGGTTATAAACTATCCAAGTTAATAGTAATTTGTTACAATATCCTTAAGAATACAGAAGTGCAGGGCCAGGGATTTAGCTCAGTGGCCTGCCTTGCAAGCGCAAGGACCCACGTTCAATCCTTGGTACCAAAAAAAAAAAGAATACAGAAGTGCTAGGGAATCTTCTGTTTGTTTACCTAGAAAAGAGAAAGTGAGTAGATCAGAGTACCTCCAAGAATGATTTTATACACTGTCTCAATTACCTAGGCCATCCTCCTGCCTCAGCCTCACAAGTACCTGGGATTATTTGAGTGTGCCACTTGGCCCTGCAAGGTTTTTTAAATTGTTTGGCAATTTGTCTTCCTAGGTGGTCTTCTAAATCGTTTCACTTTCTATAAATATTAATCTGTCAAATAGTATAGGTTAGAGCCTAAAAAATCACCTGGTAAAAATGCAGCTGTTTCTAGCTTTTTGTATAATCTAGGAAGTCGCTGCCCTTCACAGTTTTTAGTTACAAGGCACTTGAGCCACATGATTAAAATATAAATGTTGTCAGCAGAGGACCCTTACAATATGTTTTCAAGATAAGACCTTCTTTGGCAACAGTGTGTTTGGTGACGGTCATGTGAGGTAAGCCAAGGTATCTCTGACGCTAGACCCTTGTTTCCCAGCCAGATCAGCAAAATGCCAAGGATGTGTCCAAGGACAGGCACTGTGAATAATGTGGCAACAGCGAGGCAGTGTCCGCAGCAAAAGCCAGCGTTAAAATTCACTGGAGTTCAAGGAGAAACGCTGGAAATTTACGCAGAATTCCACAGTCAAGAAGCACTCCTCTCGGTGCCCTTTCTTGGGAGAAGCGTTGTATCAAAATGTGAAAAGAATTTGTGGTGCAAACAGAAATCCACGCACCCGACCACGGGGCAGTTCTTTCTCTCCAGCTGTGTGGGTGGCCACATCTTACCTGGGGGTTGTGAGCGCCCACCGGGCCTGGCCTTGGCTGTGGAGGAAAACAGTGCACCCCACCTGGGTGAGCAGGAGACAGCGCAAAAGCCTGAGTCTGCCGAGGACGCCGTGTCCCGGAAGTGGATGTGGTGCGATCTGTCTGTCTGTCTGTCCCAGCTGCCGCTGGTCACGGCACCTCTGGACCACCAAGACATAGCCACCCTCATGAGAGGCTGAGTGCTTGCTTAGCAGCGGCCTAGCAATCTGTGCCTTCCTGTTTTCAGGGTACCAACTTCTGTTTTTCGT